AGCCGGCTCGCTTCGGGCTGCGGGTCTGCACTTCGCTAGAGAAACCCCGCGCCTGGAAGTCCGCGCAGATGTGTGCTCTTTTGCTAATGCCGTAGCGAAAGTTGTTTCCAGCGGATTCCTCGTTTTGAAACAAGCCTCTGTCTCGCTCGCCCCTCCGAGTCCTGCAGATCGCAGATTGTTAGTCCTTGGTGTTATTCTCAGCCAAGGGGTTTTCCGTCTGTTCAGATTGATGAAGTACCTCATGTGGCATGCTTATTTAATTCTTTACAGAAAACAAGAATTTTCTCTCAGAGTATTGGAAGCTAGATGTGAACTGATTTAGGCACAATGTGGATAGATTATATCCACTTCTAAAGTCCGAAGACAGATGTTTCTTATTTAATTGGAGAGAACGCACATTTTAAACAATTCAGGCTGTTTATGTTTGCTGTTGTTTTCTCTTTATAGGTCTTAAAAATAATTTAAACCTAGTGTTACCAGGGACATTAAAACTGATTGGTTTAATTTAGGCAGATTTTGACACTTTAATCATTAAACAAAATTACGATTCTTTAGGTTATATTTAATCTTAACATTTATGGTTTGTTTGTATATGAACATAATACAATTCAGTCTTTTTCTAAGCGCACCAATTGAATTAGAAGAGCTTACTTAAATGTAGCACATAAGCAGTGCAAATCTTCACCCCCTCTAGCCTGAGCCACTCATGCATCCCATTACTACGTTGGCATCCAGCAGCTCTGCTCAGGACGACTCTCATTCTGCTGGGCATTCTTCAAAACAGTGTAAGAGACAGCTCCTTTTCAGAGAGCTTGCAGTGCCATATTGCACATGCGTCTGGCTGTTTGGGCATGTAACACAGGGTATGGTTATATATAAATGTAGATTTACAGACACGCACAGTAGTCATATGATATTTTGTTGTTTCATGTACTGTTTGTGTATCTTTAAAACCGAGCTAACATTCATGTATTTCCGTCTTATAACTAAATAATTCATGCAACGGAAGCTGAATATATTACTTATACAAATTAATTTCAAGCTTGAATGGAAAACTTTCCGACCAAACACAAATTCCATTGCATTTTAAAGGGGAATTTTGAAAAATGAATGAAAGCCTAGTGATGAAACTTAGGCCAACATCTATCTTGCCTGTGGCAAACTCTGGAGAAGGCCGCTGAAAAGACTTGGGACAGCTCCGCACTCTTTTGGTAGAGATTTCCATTTAGAGATACCGTGTTTGGTGTACAGGCACAACAGCAGGCTAATGGCTGCATTAGCAAGGCTTTAGATTGTATCACACCACTTTCCAGGTAGGAGAGAGAGCTTGGCACCTCCAAAGTGTGGTTCGTTCTATCTACCGGAGGCAGTTGTTTATATCTTCTGGGAGTATTTCTCTTTCCAGTGGCTTTTGAGAGGGAGCCTAAGGACAGTTTCAGGCCTGAGGATTATATGCCTGACTTATAGATGAGACGCAGCATTTAGAGCTGCTGACTCTCCTGCAGCTAAGTTACGCAGGAGAGAGCCCGCTGTATACACATAAATACTCTGTACTTGGAGGTGTGATTTCAGCACAGGCAAGCTTAGCAGTCTTATTAGTAGCTGTCTAATTCAGGTACCAAGAGCAGTAAAGGTGTTGTTTCACACAGTTCAGCACTGGCCAGCTGCCCTTGTATGCAAGAACCCCAGGAAGGTTTGCATAGCTTGTACCAAAGCCCGTAGAGCTGTGTCCTTACTGCCAGCACATAAAGACCATCTCCCATAGACCTGCTATAACTCTTTGACTAAAGCGTGGCTATACGTTTCGTGTCAGCTGCTTTAGCTCCAAAATACTTTACTTACAGGAGCAAATTTTCTGTTCCTTTCTACTCTTCCCTCAAAGAGAGCAGTACACATCATAACTAGACTAGATGATAGTATTTTAAATAGAGTGTTACACAGAGTTCCTTTTGGAGCCTTTGACTACTGTAGTGGGATATAGCTAATCCTTAATCAATATTACAGTTATTTTCAGATTGTGGTTCTTTCCTGTACTCACTTTGCCTTCTCCCTGCAACATCCATGAGAAATGCTGTTATTCCCATTTTATACTTATATTTGCATTTTTGTATTTATTCTGAGAAACAGGAAAAAATTGGTCTGGCTCGTCCAAGTTCATACAGGAAGTTGGTGATGACACTGGGGGCTGACTCTGGATCTTTTCATCCTCCTCCAGTGCCTTAATCACAAGATTATCCTTCCTCCCAAAATAAAAACACCCAATAACTATTACAAGACTGGGTATTCAATTCTTACAGCTTTAATTTTAAAGGGTAATGCTTCATGCCTCATAGGAGATTTGTAAAAGTCTTGGAAAGGTTTTCTAAAACAGAGCAGAAAGAATACATAGACTGCTTCAGGGCTGGAAGATTTCATTTTGATGCATTTTTATACAAAGCTTGCTTTTTAAGTACTTTTGGCTAGAATCTAACTAAACATTATCAGCTCTTTTGGTTAGATTCAGAAAGCACAACAAGAGAAACAAAACTGCTGAATAATTAACAACATTCTTAATTAAGACCACAAGTTAAAATTGGGTGGAATTAGAAAGCAAGGAAGAATATGATGTAATACTTAAATGGGAGTGTGATCCAAAAAATACGTACAGAATTTATTAAATCAGCATTTTTCAGCCATGAGGGATCAATGGAGGGACTTGTAAAGGATTTGCAAGAGAAAGGCAGATTCACACGTGCTATATCGCAAGCTAGGTATATGACATTTCTGCAGGTCGCAGAAATTGCAGTTTCCCCTATAACATAAAAATTGGAGAAACCTACAAATCCAAGTGGTTGAAAACCTCTGGCTTAAATTAATGCATGAGTATGAGAGCTTTTGACGTGTTTTCAGTTTCTGGGGGCTGGATACACAAATGTAATTCAGGTATCTTGTGTTCAATGCAAGTTATGTTCTCCCATTGAGGAGGCAATGTGTAGTGCACTTGGATGCTCTTTGCACTTTTACTGCCAGCAACAGCCAAGAGACTTCAGAAGCAGAGAAAGTTCAGTGAAAGAGAACACTTTTACCAGAAAGCCATAATAGTCCTTGTGATTTCCACAAGACTGCAGTTACCTCACAAGCAGTGAGTCTGTGCTGCCTAGCACAGGTACTGTAGTGTATGGTTGGAAACACGCGATTGCAAATCATTACATAATCTCACAGTGCGTCTGTTTTGCTTGTGGAAAGAAGCGTACAAGTGGCCACTTCATTGGACAAGTGAGGCTTATATGTAACTATACAGACTATTTCACTCTTTTCCCAAGGAGAACAGACCTAATTTCAAGAAGGCTTCCTTCATCTGTAAGTGCTTTCATGCTGTTTGTATTAACAGTATGATTGTCTTCAGCCCTACTAAATGAAAAAAAGTGAGGGATCTGACAAGTATGCTGTGATGGCTTCAGTCAAGAACCTGGGAGTTTCCTAGTGTCGTGATGTGACAGATGTGTTGTCGCTCTGTCATAGTTTATAGTTACTCTGTGTTTTAGTGGTATTGGGATGTGTACTGAATGATATGGGTCCATATCATGGGACTATAAAGTTAAACAAAGGAAAAAGGAAAAAAAACCTCTCTCCACAAACATTTGAGGCTTGTTAAGAAGTAAAGCACACACCCATGAGTCAGAGAAGGAAAAAAAAAAGGATAAAAACAAATGTAGTAAGTTTGTAAAGTATATATTTCCTCAGATAGAGGGGGTACTTTTTCAGGAACTGATCTGAGGGAACCAAGTGAGTGATAGACACATTACAGAAAAACTCAAGTTCACTTAGGTTAAAATTCAGTGGGAAGCAATAAGATGGGATAGTCTTGGGTGCAGGCTGTTTCATTGAAGAGTTCCTTTCTTTATAAACAGTATCCTACTTTTTTAAAATAACTGAAGCTTTAGTTTTAAGAAAGCTATTCTAGATCTCATGTCATAGACTTCTGAAGGGAGAATACAGGTGCTAAGCCTACCTGGACCCATCATCCTGAACCTGATGTAAGAAAACTTTTGATCTCTGCCCCAGCAGATCAGAGATATGACACCACAGAGTGACTGGCAAAGTGCAGCTTACCTTCCTGCCACCACTGTGGCATTCAGGACTAAACTCTGCCCTTTGCCTCATGTAGGCTTTAAATGACAAAAGGCAAATCCATGTGTGTTGTGAAGACCTCTTGCTCCTTTTCTCTCAGAAACTAAAATTATAGGAGAGAGAAGACATTGTGTTGGTTACTAATGTAAACACAACAGGAACACTCAGTGTTCACCCAATTCTCAGTGAAAGATATGAAGCTACCTTTAAAAATATGTCACTACTTCTGAGTGCCATGTTCCAACTGTCAAACACAGACTGAGTTCCTTACTACTGGTACTGACAGTCAAAGAGGATACTACACTCGAAATCGTGGGCTTTTCTCTGTGGCACAGTTCAGCACTATGTGAGTGCTGGTCTGAGTGCTATGAGCCACTGCAAAACTTGTGTTAATGTGGAGTGTGAGCCAAACTTCCCTGCTGAGAAGATTGCATAGTTAGAGTTAGAACAAATGCAAGAATATCTGCAACACATTCCTAAAATCAGTACCACTTGATTGAAGTTGTTCTAGAGGGAATTCTCGCAAGCTGTCACTAATCTCTCAGCTCACCTACCTTTGTTCTTCAGAGCAGTCAGTCCAGCCATTTCCAAAACAATAAGGTGACTTAAC